CACGTGACTAAGTGTTCGAATAATCGACCGCTGACAACAAAATTAAAAAAACTGAAAGCTTGATAAACAGCTGGAGTTTAGAGATGTTTGGATGCCTTGTCTCCGGACGTTTAGTAAGTATCTCGTCATATTTCATGAAGGGTAATCGAGAGTAAGATTCTGACAATTACTATTTGAATTAATTTTTATGGTGAATCAAACGAAGTGCGATTATTACCATTAATATTCGTGACAGCTTGCATGTGTTCATCGTGTCTGTTTTGTTTCTACTGTAGGTGGCGTTCATTACATACATGTACCATTTTTTTACGTCTATGAAAATTGAAATATGTCGTTACAACTTTTTTGCACGTTAAATTGATGTCGAGTAATAGTAATCATTAACAAAACTACTCCATAAAACTATATCATTTGTATTAAGTGTGGTGGAGGCATTTTCCGGGGGGAGGGGGGGGGGAGGGAGGGGGACTAACAGACTGTCTGATTGCCATTGTATAAGTCAGATTATTGCATATTTTACTTACTATATATCTGTCTTCTCATGGGTAAGAACCTGGAAATCAGCGTACCTTACTGCACAATCTGTAGATTGCACACACTAATATGACTATGCATCCAATGTCCCATTTACTGCTTTCTTTAACATAACCTAACAAGAATTTATTATTACATTTGGCAAAATTTGTGATATCTGGAACAGTTAGGGTTGAGGTAAATGTTATTGGCCTCAGCTTGTAACACTTAGCTTAACTTTGATTTCCAGATATCACAAAATCAAAAACAACAACAACCTGGAAAATTCATAAAGTAAAAAGGCCATAGTGAGGAAAATAAATTATTGAATTCAATTGGGTTGTGCCACTGTAAAGGGTAGGATTTTAAGCAGTTTAATCTGGGATAGAGTATCGCAATCAGATGATTTCTGGTCTAGAAATAGGGTATCATCTATGGAAATCAGTGTGACGTGAAAAACAGTAAATTCAATGTTAGTAAAACCTGATTCGGAACCCCTAAGCAAGTTTAAAGGAATTCATTTATCTGCTTTATTTTTTTTCTCCCCAAATCATGAAATTAAAGTAAAATACTCCCAACATACATGTAAAATATAGTATGAGGAAGGTTTTCTAAAGCTGTTGAGCAAAAATTACTCCAAATAGCATTGCAATAAGTTGCAGATCATAGAGTGAACATGATGTGAACTGCAGGAATACAAATGTAGATGAAATTATGACCATCACCGTTGTAATCACAATTTTAGCAACTGCAAACAAAGCCCCCCACCCCCCCCCCTAAAAAATGAAATCAAATAAAAATTCAGGGCTTTTTCAGGATTCAAACCCATGGCCTCTGCATTAGTGCTGCAGTGCTTTGCCATTTGAGCTATGAAGAGCCATTGTATGCCTGCTCCCAATGTATGATAGTCATAACTATCTTCATTTAGAAACTGCAGGCTGTTGCCTCATTCCAGGGTTAAGTTGTCTGCAGACTTTTGTATTTTCAAAGAGTGGAAGTGATCTGCTAAACCATTGGTCCCATAAACAACAGCAAGAACTTGACTCCCATCCAGTACCTTGAATTCTCCAATCTCCGATGCTTAATGAACACCCTGGAAATGGAATACTTTTTTTAAGATCGAAGATCCCATAAACCTATACCATGCAGAGCGGCACATACTGAGTGAGCCAAACATACCAGTCCCCCCCCCCCAAAGCGTGTGTGTCCATCTGTAAACTCCCAAGGGAACCATTTTCCATATATGGATGCAAAGAAACAATGCATTTGTTAATGACGACATACCATCAAGACATCATGACTATCAAAATATGCACAAATGTTCTTGTCAACCGTTTAAAGTCTTCATGCTAAAGATCGATTTCACTACAATATTCTTGAAAAAAACAATACTTAATTCTCAGTGATTGTAATAGTGCTTTAATAATAGTAAACATTCCTTTTGTACGTTACCAAGCACAAATTTTAAGACAGATAATACAACTATGAATGTATTTCTGAGAATTTTTCTGTCTTTTTATACTTTCTCCTTTTATTCAGCTGGCATGATCTGTAACATGTGAAAGATGAAACATGATCTATGAAGTCAAAAAATTATTTCATGGAAAACAACAGAATGACTAGTGTCACGATCTCAAAACTGGAGATTGTGTGAATTATCAGGAATTACAGGAAAATACATAGATTTTTCAAAAATAAAATTATTTTGTCGAAGGGATAACATTTATTAAAAATCTAAATATAGATTTTACTAAGAACACAATTATTTTTTCAGAATTTTGTGGCTCACAGCTACTTTGACATTTATTTTAATGCATACAATTTACTTTACGTTTTAGGCATAAAACACTTTAGTTTGCCTCTTAGAATGCTAAAGACCACTTTTCAAAGGAATGAATTTTAAAAATTTCCAGAGCATACCAGACCCCACCGACCCCTGCTGAAATATTCTTGTATCCACCCCAGAGAATAAGGTAGTAAACTTCAGATGAAAATGTGGTGGTTTATGCTAAGGGTTCCAGGGGCCCCAGCAGCAAATAAAAATTTGAAAAGTTAGCTTAAGCTGGGAATGGCTTTTATCCTACAATATTATAAATATGTATTAGCAGTGGTCAGGGTTGCCCTAGGCTGTTAAACAGGATTTGGGGTTTTTAAAATAATAATGTAAATGGGGAGAAGTGATGACTGGAAATAATCTGTGTCATCTGTGTTCACAGTCTATAAAACTTTATAACTGGACTCAAGCAAAATGTCCAAATTTGGTTCTCTTTCAAAACAAGGAACAAGTACATGGGGATTCATTCTAAGTTAAAACTAATAAGCTCTGTTGTAAAGCTGGTCATACTGACTTAAACAAAAAACAAACTTTCAGTTTCCATGTAGGAATGTCAGTAAGATTACAGTTGAACCTCGACTCATTGGCCACCTACATGTATTAATAAAGTGGGTTAAGCAGCCACTAATTAAAGTCCTGAAATAATATAATGTTCACTATTAAGTGTCCACCTCTATCGCCTCCCCCTCCACGTTGTCCAACATTTGTTCATCCTAACGAGATTTCTCTTATAGTTGCTACCTCTATTAAGCAGCCACCAAGTCTTGATATACTTTATAGATTGGCTTAATATTAACCGTATGATGAAGGAAAGAAGGTGATGACTAGGATAGAGATAGAATAAGATGATTGGTTGTGGTCTAGTAATGCTGCTCCCATTGCATGTTTACTTTAGATTATGCTAATTTATGACGAACTTCTTCTGAGTGGCTAACCTCATTAACCTGCCACTTGCGGGTACCCAGGGGTTGGCGATTCAACTGTATTTACTTTTTGTTATGGCCACTTTCTTTCAGGTACAAACAGATGCCCAGCAGATTGGTCCAACTCAGTTCGTTTTCAACTTGCTTGATGTTGAAAACATTCATCACGTGGTAGTGTTCCTAACAGGTGTGACTCCATTCCCTGATGGAATGGGCGGGGCAGTCTACTACTGTTATCCAACCCCTGAGGGACCTACTTCACAACTTTTGGGATTTATTGCTAATAACAAGCCTAGTGCCATATTTAAACTGGCCAAGGTATATGTTGCATTTCATGTGAACTCTCTGCTTTTTACAGTGTTTAACAGAAGCCAAGGTGTCTAGAGCATTTGATTAACAGTTATTTAAAGGGCCAAAAAAAGCTCATAGAAATTACACTGCACTTCTGTTGGGGCACAGAAATATAGATATACAATGAGAAGTACCTCTGTCGCTGTATAGACTGATACACAAACAAAGAATGCATTTATGTTTGCAAAATAACAACCCCCAAAATGAGAAAGTGATTCAGCCTTGCTTCTCTGCAGTTGGCCTTCATGTTCCACATATATTTCCTCTTTTGGTTTCGTTTGGTTTTGTCTTTTTCCAAACCAAAGCACATGCATGTGTGGTGTGTCCACACATGTCCTCAAACGTCACGTTTGGGATACTTTGGATAGGAAATAAATATGAATGCTTCTCCTTTTGTAGGTGAGACCAGAGGAAAGAGTGCAGAACCCTTTTTTAATGGATGCCAGTGGGACCACACACACAGGGGCTCAAATAGGTATATCAATTGAGCCCTTAGACCAGCTCGCTCAGCAGACACCCGCGTGCAATTCGACGCCGTCAAATTTGAACACTTTTGTTGAATATACACAGAAAATGCTGGAGAATTTCTTCAATTTCGCGTCTTCCTTTGCAAGAACGCAGGCAGAAATGACACCAAATCCTTCGGAGAGTTTCGTTCCACTTAGCGTGGTACAAAGGTGGTATGAGAACTATCAGAGGAAAATGGCACACGATCCAAACTTCTGGAAAGGGTGATGTCTGACACTGGGGAAAAAAGTGCCTCTATATAGCATGTGGTAAATGATAGGAAGCGTTTTTATACATCTAATGCAGTAGACAAGCTAAAGAAGTACAAAATCAAATAAGCACTTGTAGGATAAAGTAATGCTGGTTTTGTTGAACTAGAATGTAACTAGCATCACTTTACAAGTCCGTCGATATTCCCTCACGGTTGGCCAAAAAGGCGTTATTAGGAGAGTCTAATAATTAGGGATTGAGAAGAGGGTATGAATGTACATTGAGAGGCTTACCGAGGAGACAGTCTCATACCTCATCTGACAAACTTGACGCCTAGGTTCACTGAGTTGTTGTTGTCTCGTGTAATCTCGATAGTGCTGCTTATCCATAAGAAATTGATAATGATGATCTTTATAACTTAAGGTGGATATCCACGGTCGCGTAATTTTTACGTGCGTAGCCAGGGAAATTGAACGCGCGAAATAATTGTCGCGCATAAACCCCTAAAACGTAAAAATTGGTCGAGGTTCTAATTTTACGTTTACGCGCGACCTTTCATACATTGCCCCTATTTTATTTACACACGTAAATTTATGCACGCGCACACATAAAAACTACGCGACAGCGGAAATCCACTTTTTGAGAAGACAAACGGACGTGTACGGTCATAAGATAGTAATGGAGTACCTAAAAAAAGAGTTGTCATATGATTATGAAATTTTATGACTTTTTAAAGAATAATCATATTTCAACCAAGTCACACGTTAGGAATAAATTGACATTTTATTTCTTGCTTGTCTGCGTCTATTATTCTAGACAGTTACTACTTGCTTGTTTTACGAACAACAAGTAAGCAAAATTCCGCAAACCAGTCAGCAAAACCTACAGACCTAAAAATGATATTTTTTACCTTTTAATAACGTTTAGTTTTCCCTTTTGATATCTTATACTTCGAATGCGCTCATAGACAGGGTGGAGATTCTGTTTTCGTGGGAAGAAGTGCCCTAAAATGTGTCTAAAAGTGAACTGGTCCGTAAGAACGCCGTGACATAGGCCTAGTATGGGAGTTGCTTGAGGAATGGCTGATGCGTTAATCGCTGTCCGACTGCATATAGTTGGTCTTATGATACCCCTAATTGCAATAACGTTGTCAAAGAAAAATAAGAAAAACAAAGAGAGAGAATTTGGCACGCCCACGAAATCAGACTTTGTGCTGGACGATAGTTATTAGAGGACTGACTGGTTATGAAATCCAGCCCCAGGCATCAAAGCCAAAAACAATTGTACTGGCGCCTCGCCCCAATGCTTTGTCATGTTTTTGTTCACAAGTCGTTACTGAATAACTTATTCAGTAACGTATTAATAGTATTAGTAGTACTAGTATTAATCCGATTTTTTATTTGTCAGAAAGATCAAAGCAAATGCTATTGAACGTTGTGCACCCTCAAACTTTATTAACTATAATGGTCTTGCAAAGGATGAAGAGGAAAAGTCAAAACTCAGTTGGTGCCGAATTGAAGTGCCACATTTTAGAAGAGTTTACATGATTTTCAAAAATATCAAAATGCAATTTGCATGGTTAATTACTTTCTATTTGTTTTTTTTTTTAAATTTCTGTTTTTACTTTTTTGTATGACAGTTATTGCATTTAGGTGTACACATCTCTCCATGACCAACTTATACACTATCATTTTCTGCATAGTTAAAAATAATGAGGCAGTTTAAAAGGCTGCCCTGGTTAATAGCTTAATAAGTAAATGTTTGATTTCGCACCTTGCCATTTTTGTTTTATATAGTATAGTATTATTTTGTTTGTTTCGAAAATGTTTTGGCCTTGAAATGTATGCAAATGTGATGTATGCAAAGGTAAAATGCTCTGTGTCTATTTATAACAACCCTGTTACACTCTTTCGTAGTAAGTGTATTTCTCTCGATTTGTAAAAACGAAGTCATCAGGAAAGTCATTTTTACTGCCGCTGTTAAGGTGACAAAGGTTTCGACCATTCGGTCGCCTTTTTAAATGAAATGATTGGCAGCGACAGGTCCGAAGGCAGTGTGACGCACAGGCTAACGCGTCCATTACTTCATAAACAGATATGTGGTGTCCTATTAGCTTGTAGTGTTCAAGACTTGTAAACATCCCATCGGTATCTAAAACACAGAGTAATATTTAGTTAATAACAATGAAAAAATATTAATGAGAAAAGAAAGAAATTTGCTTAATCACGGTTTTTAACTTCCGTGTCAAACGGCTTCCACTGGCTGCTCGTGTTTGAACTGCGGCCAGGGTTGTAACTAAGGCCCAGGCCGGTTATCTGCCCCTTAGATTTAAAATAATCGATATACAAACTACTTGATGTCATTACTGTATCCCATATAAATACTCCATTAAAGAAACCGTTGAACAGCAGGTTGAATTGATGATAATGACTTTAATTTCAAGTTCAGTACGTTTTCTGCCGGCCCTGACCAGCTAAACATTGTAGCTGTCCACAGAATAATTTCTAGCATTTTGAGTATCAGGCTCAAGAATGAAGATGAAAGCCAGGGATCTGCTAGCAACGTGAAAGACGAAACAATCCTTGTGAGCGGTCTCTTGGAAATAAAATAACTGATGATATGTTTAACACCGAGAGAGGGAATCATCCTGCGAGCAGAGCATCTTTTTGTATTCTTCGTGATTCAGGAGGAGAAAAGTAGGCTCTCAGGCCTGAATCGCGTCACTGAAGCTTTTTAAGTCGTTGCGGCCCCGAACTTCTGGACTACTAGTTCAGTTTAAGTGAGAGACGGCTTTAAGGCCTGGAAAAAAAACGGTATCCTAGCAAAATGCAGTGCATGCTCAAAATAGATTGTACTCGATTCATGCAAAGTCTTTTTTTGAGTACACTGCACCAAAACAAGCAACTCCCCCTCGAAAGAAAGCAGGCTCTGCGGCTAGCAGGGCGAGCTGGTGCCCAGAGGGAATATGATATTTTTATGCAAATCCACCAGAAAAAACGTTATAGAAATTTTTCAAGAAGATTTACGTGATTGAAACGAAAACATTTTAAACATTTGTTGAGTGCCTTGTAGGGCATTTGTACTAATTTCATTCTTGCTTTAATTTTCAACTTCCTGTCTTACTACAAAGAAATTTTTGGATGACACTTACATGAAGCGCTACAAGCCGTTGATGGGGACACCATACTGACGTTCATCCTCGTCATGAGGTTAATCACGTGACTGCACCAATAAAACACATTTCCTTTTGCTAAGTTACACGAGCGGTAGACATTTTGCACTTCATCAGCTGTGAGGTATTTGTTCCACACATTCAGGTTACTCAAGCTTCCGTTCATGTGCTCAGCGAGTGTTCCGTCTGGTTGCATCCTGGCACCTATGACCATTGTCCCGCCTCCTTTGAGAATTTTTTCTAATTGAAATAAAGAGATAACCATCATGGCTGACCAGATTCAGTAGCCTTCACTAATGCTAAGCTCGTTGAACCTCCTAGAGAAAAGGAGGCTCTATCTGAATCGCTCGTTCAAGCCTTTGAAGACGCCGCAGCCCGTACTTCTGGACTCGTCATACTTTTTTCTCTCGTCTCGTTTACATCCATTTACTGATAAACCGATGGTTATAACCAAGCCACTTTCAGAAAAAAACCAAGCACACTATCAACACCAAGCGCACGACATCGATTCATCCAGTCTTTCTCGAGTACGCTGAAATCGCCCGAGCGAAAAAAGTATCTGCTGGAAAGCATTTTATGCCAGATTTTCAAATGTCTGTCAAGACCAATTTCGATGTAATATTGAAACCTATACTTTGGTAGCGAGGCTTGAGGGAATAAAACCGAGGGAATGCATTATTCAATGCCCAGGTTCAAGATAATTTTGTTGTTTCATTCCCCCAAACCTCGGAGCCAAGTGAATTTTGATACATCAAACTTGGTCTATTTTAAGGGAAACTTCGTTCACCCAGAAACGTCTCATAGTTTGCATTGTTCACTCGGAACTGACGAACCAGTTTGAATTTGAATTTTTTTTCTATGGTAATGCCTCATCTGCCCTTGCGTAGAACGCTACTTTAGCAAATCTAAATTAATGGCGTCTCCCAGCTGAGTTACCACGCATCCGGTGCAACCACGCCGTTGCCGTACAATCTATTTAGACGGTTACGTATTCACACTGCGCAGTTCAAATTTTCCGCAGCACAGGGCTAAAACTTTGACCTCAAAGGAAGGGTGGCCTCGTGTCAACGGAATACTGACACAAATTTACAACGGTCGAAAATTCGTACGGGGCCGTGTAAACGTCCCTAAGTTAAATTTTTACCCATCTTCAATTATCAATTATGCGTTGTATTTAAATGATTATTTAAATTTGGATAAATTTAAAGAATTAAGAGATTGTCACGAACATTTGCGGTGATAATGATCACCAAACCACTTCGTTTCCAAAACACATTTCCAATGCTTAATTTTTCAAATGCGGCCCTCTCGTTCAGCGACAAATACGTGCGCATTAAGGCTACTTGTGTTCTTAGGCTTTCATACCTTGTCTAGACGGTGGCTTCATTGTCGTTTTATGAACACCATCAAAGAAGGTAATTGTTCTTGTATTTTCCTGGTCCCAAATGAGGCAAGCATGGAGCCATTTCCCATCTCGAAGTTGGATATGTGAAATACTGAAACTGATACGTTCTATTTGTAAGAGTGAGTGTATGCATGATACTGCCAGGAGGTCAACTCGATTTTATTCTTGGATGTTTAAAACCCAACCTTTCCAGATCGAATTTTCATTTGATTTATCGGCGATTTCCTAAGCAAGCTAGAGTCCCGGGCCGGGGGAGGGGAGGGTGGGGGGTACTTGGGTTAATTTTTGCTGGGTATGTGCCGCTGGCCTCTCAGAACGCCTGCCCCGTCTGGCTGTGGCCAATTGTAGACCCCATCTCAGTAACTTTTGGGCAAATATGTAATTTTCGCAATCCTACCTTAGACACTTTCTATTTTTACTGAATTGACCCATTTTTTAGATTGAATGAAGAACGCTTAACAAGTTACTTTTCATCTACAGTACAAACATTCTGGTACGTTTGCTAAGCGTAGATATGAAGAACTGCCTTACGCCCCAAAATCCGCGGAAAATGTGAGACCCCATTCTAGTAACTCTATTGAACCTCTGTTGAGAAGACAACGCCATTATAATCAATCCAGTCGTGAAAATGCGACCCCATCCAGCGGCACATCCCCATTAGCCTCTTAGAAGGAAGTATCCCCCCCGAAGGGGGGGGGAGGTTAGAGTTACCTAAAACCTAGAACGCCATACGGTTACTGCTGTAGAAAGGGTAGAAAATCACGATAAAACGATAAAGAAATCGCCTTAAAATCACAACAAAAGCTTCACAAACGGTGCTAAAAGAGAGCTAGTAAGCTGCTTTCAAAATTCGCCCTGTCTGCATTTGTTTTTTTTGTTGTACTTACTAATAATCCTTGTCGTCCATGAAGGTATTGACGGACGTTCCTTGAGTATTCACGAGATAAGCTTTATCGTACTTGGAGTTAGAATATGAAAGCAATGTCATAGTATTAAAGCTTCCTGCAGGATACCGGTAAATGAGTTTAACCCAGAAACAAACAGAGAATGACATCATATCTGGAATACCGTCTGTTACTAATGCATAGCCATTGGAATCTTGCAGAAAATGGAGATCTAAAGATTCTGTCAAATAAACAAAAAATTACCAGTTATAAAATAATTATGCAGATTGAGGAGGGTACGTGTTACCCACTAAGCCCAATGGCATATAGCGAAATTTTACATAATATCATGCGAAAGCCGAATCCAATAAAGAATTATAATAGCATGCAGTCAGTGATTGGCTGCAAAACTGATGCACCTTCAACTGAAATTATCGAAACGCAGCATTGCAAACCCCTGACAATCTCGAGATGAAACCAGAAACAGTATCAAAACCTAACCTGCTCACAGTCTTTTTTTCATACTTTCTCAATGGATTTAGAACAATAACCTCACTCATATTTTTCGGTGCAATTATCAATATCTATCTAGTTGTAATAAGCCTAATTTAATCTTACCTACCCGCCTCGACTAGTTTTAACCTTTTGTGGGTAGGTAGTGTTCAAACTGTAAATATCTGTTTCGTAAAAGTGTGTGAGTGTGTTGAAGGGGAAAGTTTATGAGAAGCCTTACCAGAGCCGCTGATTTCAGCAGATTTCACAGTCGCTGACTGGATGTTCAAGGCAAACAGCAACAGGAAATGATAACTGAAGACTTGCACTCCAGTGCGTCGAATGGCTTGGACAACAGCTCCCATCCTGCCAGCAAAGTGAAGTCAGCAGAATATAATGCCACAGCTACATTGATCACACATCTCTAACAAACTACAGTAGTCTTCCAGGCGTCATAATAACAAAAATATTCCGATAGAACACTGAATTCTATTCGCGAAAACAACGTTTCACGCACATGATAAAACTAGATGCCGTAGAGCAAAAAATCAGTGAAGGAAGGGGTTGGAACAATATTTCTTGCTCGAAGGATCTCCCGGCAGTTCATTAACCCTACATGCGCGCGAGTAATACTAGGTTCAGTTCAGTTTTTGATCTTTTTTGTTCTGACATAAAATCTGTATTCCAAGATCGAGAAAAGCTAAAGAAAAAGCACTCAAAACAGCGCTCAAATCTGTGTATTGCTGATAAGAGGCTTGTTTTTGAGTTTTATCAAGTAAAGCTAAGTAAACCTTAGTTGGTGTTTTTCCAAAGTCAGTAGTGAGAATGTTCTTAGATCTGGTCAAGCTTCGCCTCGATTCGACTGTCGAATTTTACTTTTAATTTTTCCTATAAGTTCTGGCATAACGTTCGATGCCCAGGGAGCTAAATCTATTCTCTCCTTGCTTCCATTTCACACTTTCAATCATTGTTAACGATAAGCACCTGCGACACGTACTTATACGTACATGTAAAATTTGCACATAATGTCTGCCTCGAAGGTCCTCGCAATCGGCAATAGTGAGATTTTCTCGTTTTAAAAAAGTTTAATATATGTATTTTATTTCTAAAGCCCTGTCCTGGCTTTTTTAAGATTATGAAATATGAAACAGAATAAAAGGTTACAAACCTGTTTTGTATTAAAACGGATATATATTGACTGTATGTCACATCTCGTCTTTTTCGACCTTTTTCACACATTTTTAAGTTCCTAAACTTACCACGTCATTCTCATTTCATGCCCTTTTTTCTTTGTTCTCAGCTGAGATTTTCCCTTTAATACATAAAGTGCAGTCGGAGTGTCAATCCGCAACGGTTAATAATTATTTCAAGAACAGCAGCCTATATCAAGTCGTTCAATTCATGAGTACAGTGTTGGATTTAATAAGCGCGTCGATTAAATTAAAACAGAGAGAACTCTTGAGCAAACAAGGTGTCAACTCTGTTATTAACGTAGCGCCCAAAAAGCCAATATGACCCAACATGGTATGGTTGCAAAGTACACACCGTCGATAGTTAATGATATGCTAACGATTCATTTGTTGGATGAACTCTATTCGTTATCATTAGCCTTTATTTCTGCCCTGTATCTTTTGGTATAGTGCATACCCTATCAAACTTCCTAGACGCCAGGCAGCGCACATTAAGATTTTTTTTCGTTTCTTATCTTAGTATAAGAAATAAATAGCAAACAATCAGATACTAAAGTTATATTATGATGTTAAATTCACGTAATTACCTCGTCACATTAACCATAATATTTGTAAAAATTAAAGTTTATATTTACCCCGTCGGAGAACTTTGTTGCCGCTGTCTTTTTTCTTCTTTCCATAGCTTTCATATTTCTATTATTTCTCAGTTCGGTGATTACATTTTTCTATGAAAAATTTCAATGTGGGGTCATTTGTTTTCACCTCAAAACAGATAACGAATACCTTGAATCCTAAAAACGGATTCAGTGAATTAAATGCAATCCAGTAATCGATGTTTAGTTTCAGGAACTCAGTAAATCTCTGAAATGACCGGATTTAGTAAAGAGGTATTGCTGGAAAGAAATCCAGCACAGAAATCTTAAGAGCGTTAATACAGGGCATTTAAGCCTGGCCTCTTTTCCGGGACTGCCTAATAATCTTCCTTCAAAAGAGAATTCGCTCTCGCTTCCTTTGATTTATATGAAACACAGGTAGGAGACGCCTGATGATCCGTAACAAAAAAAGAAAACAAAAAAACAAAAAAACGGCAGTACATTTTTAAAAGTCTGGGAATCAATGTGAATAAGGTTAACTTGAGCTTTTATATGTAACCATATAAATGTAAATTAGCCACAAAAAAAGCGAAAATGTTGTGACTTGACATTGTATTTAATGACATTCACTGCATCTAATCACGCAAAAGTATACAAGTCAAAAGTATTAGCAAGAGATCATAACAGGACCTATTATCCCTGAATGAATATATACTGAACCTCTGTGAAACTTTTACAATGATAAATACTATATTGTTTTTAACAAGCCACANCAAAACAGATAACGAATACCTTGAATCCTAAAAACGGATTCAGTGAATTAAATGCAATCCAGTAATCGATGTTTAGTTTCAGGAACTCAGTAAATCTCTGAAATGACCGGATTTAGTAAAGAGGTATTGCTGGAAAGAAATCCAGCACAGAAATCTTAAGAGCGTTAATACAGGGCATTTAAGCCTGGCCTCTTTTCCGGGACTGCCTAATAATCTTCCTTCAAAAGAGAATTCGCTCTCGCTTCCTTTGATTTATATGAAACACAGGTAGGAGACGCCTGATGATCCGTAACAAAAAAAGAAAACAAAAAAACAAAAAAACGGCAGTACATTTTTAAAAGTCTGGGAATCAATGTGAATAAGGTTAACTTGAGCTTTTATATGTAACCATATAAATGTAAATTAGCCACAAAAAAAGCGAAAATGTTGTGACTTGACATTGTATTTAATGACATTCACTGCATCTAATCACGCAAAAGTATACAAGTCAAAAGTATTAGCAAGAGATCATAACAGGACCTATTATCCCTGAATGAATATATACTGAACCTCTGTGAAACTTTTACAATGATAAATACTATATTGTTTTTAACAAGCCACAACTTTTGTCTCCAAAAACTTTTCAGCTCCAATTTCACTTTAGACTTGTGAAACCCATCACACTGTAGACACAAGCCCCAATATATAGTTAAATAAATCTATAATAATGGTATCAATTCCATGTTTTCCATACTCTCCTCAAGTCGTTTGTTGCAAATCTCAGTGAGTGGTCAACATGCATGGCTAACAACAGTGTGCTGTTATACTCTGCATTTTACAATGCTGCCTACGCAGAGACTTTAGGCAGGAAAAGCTATTGAGGGTGCAAGTTGTAGGAGGAAAACTGTAGCTCTACATGAATAACAAGACCTAATCGTGCCCTGATTGTGAATCCAGTTGGGTAGTCAATCACGTGATCCCGGTTGCAAATGGTCTAGATTGCCTTGATTTTACACTACACCAGTAGTTACATGATGAATACATTGTTACATCTTGAATTAGGACCGAAGTAAACTCCTAACTTTCACAGTCTACTGTGGAAACGTGTATACTGACTTCCAAACAACACACAAGTCATTTAAAAACACACACGACATAGACGACATACTGACTGCATAAAAATACATTTCAATGTACATCTAGCTGGACATTTGAAAACGTTACCCCTGAAAAGACCTCTTCTATCAAGCAGTTTTTTTTTGGTCGAAAGCTGCAAATGTACATGTACAAGTACTACATGACTGTATCTCAAAAGTAGCCAATTTAAAAACTATAAGAGTGCAAACATTGCCTCTTTCTCCTCACCTCCTTTCTTTCTCTTCTCTTCTCATTTTAGTTTTCCATGATTTTCAGCCTTATCAGACGCAGAAGCCAGCCTTTCCCCCTCAACTGGCTGCTGATTTCACTAGATGCGTTTTCAAAAATCCGGCTAGACATGTACTACAACAAACCCAACACTTAACAAAGTTACACTTTTATAAGAATGAGCCCTAGATCCTCTCCATCAATGCCTGTTTAAGTTCATGTGGTTTAAAGACTCCATATTCAGTTATAATGCCTCCTGTTATCAGTTCTGCTGGGGTGATATCAAATCCTGGATTCCAACAGCCAATCCCATGAGCTGCAATACGAACATCGCCCAGTGTTGTCAGCTCATGGGCAGGTCTCTCCTCTATTGAAATGTGCTCACCACTTTCTAATGACAAATCTATGCTGGTAGAGGGTGCAGCAACGTAAAATGGAACCATATGATATTTGGCTGGAAAGAGGAAAAAAAAAGAGAGAAATAATTAATATGTTATGCCAAGTTTTGAGTAGTTTAAGATTAAATTTATCTATTATAATATCTCCAATAAACCTGAATTACTTACACGAAAGTAGTGTATAGTTTTTTCAGGTTACCTCTTCCCATAATAATAATTAATTTGGTGAAAAAAGACTGGAATTCACAACTATTCAAGCTATGCATTTGAATCCTTTAAGTACTGACATGTCAACACAAGTATTACATGCACAAGGGTGTATCTTAGAATACTGCCTGGGTAAAAAGCAAACTTGATCAATCATGCACAGCTCACGCGAATTTACTACATGAATGCTTACAGCTGTGTCTCTATATACATGTAAGGGAGCAAAGGGTGTCCCACTCTGCAGGTCTAACTTGAATATTACAGGAAATGAAATGCATTATGCACCTTTAAACTAAATTGTACATGGCATCTAGACTAAACTGGTAGTTCAGTTTCAACATGTTTGAATCAGATCACACTTTTATACACTTTCACACAGAAATACACTGTATATTGATTAGACTACTTCAACGCAAGTTATTCAATTATTTTTTGAGATAATTGATAGATGATAACTAATTCTAATCTTGATAAGTGGAAACCCATGATCAGTTCTCACGATATCATTACTAAAAAACAGTTCTTACAATAACAATTATTATTAGGTCAAGAAAGGAAAAAAATAAATGCAAAAATGTCGTATACTATAACAAAACATGATGTACCAATAGTTCTAACAAATTCCAAAAATTAAAGATCTAGAAAATTCAAAAATATAAATTTTCACTTCTAATTTTATAGATAATTTATACTAACATATATCATGCTTCAATCCATGCATAGTTTCGTAAGAGTTACAAACACTGTACACAAGAAAGAAAAAATTTTTTACTAATATAATTTCAATGCCTCGCACTAACCAGATATAGCTATCTGATATGTTCCAATCTTGTTTGCAGTATCTCCATTAGCAACAACTCTATCGGCACCAACAACAACCACATGCACTCCCTTGGTCTTCATGAGCAAAGACACCATGGAGTCGGCTACTAAAGTGGATGGAATATTCTCATAGACCAATTCATAAGCAGTCAGCCGTGAACCCTGGTTGTAAGGTCTTGTTTCTGTGCAGAAGACATGTTCAATCCTCTCTTGTTCATATAGCTTTCTGATGACTCCCAGAGCAGTTCCATAGCCAGCTGTTGCTAAAGAGCCAGTGTTACAATGAGTGAGTACTTTCAACTTTTCGGAGCTTGTCAGCTGTACCATATGATCTGCCCCATGCCTGCCAACAGACTGATTATCGCTCACATCTTTTGCCAGCATTCCTTCAATTTCCTCAATGACTTTTATCTTGATATCCTGAGGGTCACTTTTAACTGAAGATAAATATGTAACAAAAGACACTAGATCTTTTGCAGTCTCTGATATATTTACAGCTGTTGGTCTAGCTGTGGTAAGGTAGTCAAGCTTCTCTGTTATAAACTTTAGCAACTCTTCCGCTGAACTGAATGACTGCTGGAGCAGTTCCACCACCAAACTCAAGGCACCAACTATAGCAATAGCCGGGGCACCACGAACCTGAAATAAACATAATATCATAGTAGTCCCTAATTTTGCATGAAATTTCAAAGTTACAGTGTACATATAACTTATGATTTCACGAGCAAAAATACAAAATTGCTATGGCAACATTCCATACGTTTCAGTGCCAAGATGGCAGCAAGGTTTAAAAATGTTATGAATAAAGATATTATCAGGACATTACAAGACACTTCAGAAAACCTAAACACACCAAAAGCACATCAAGAAGGATTCTTTCAAGTGATTTTGCCGAAAAATTCTGAAAATTCTGCACTGAAGCCAGAATTCAAGCTCAGCACTTTTCAGTGTGGGGGGTTCTCGATTGATAATCAATGTTATAAACATGTCAAAAACTACAATTGTGAGTGTAATTGTCACCAATACATTATAACCATATTATTAAATAGATACATTGTAATCAAAATGGTATGCTCATGAAATAAGGGAATAATTTGACTCATCACCATTTGATTAAACATACTAACAATCTGTACATAGCTAATTCAAAAAAGCTTGCTTTCCTAAACTCACCAAAAGCACATCAAGAAGGATTCTATCAAGTGATTTTGTCGAAAAATTCTGAAAATTCTGAACTAAAGCCAGAATTCAAGCTCTGCACTTTTCAGCATGGGAAGTTCTTGATTGATAATCAATGTGATAAACATGTCAAAAAACTACAATAGTAAGCTTAATTGTCATCAATATAATTATAACTATATTATAAAATAGGTACATTGTAATCAAAATGGTATGTTCATGAAATTAGAGAATAATTTGACTCGTCACCATTTGATTAAACACACTAACACTCTGTATATAGCTAATTCAAAAACACTTGCTTTCCTTTGACAATGGGGCATTTTTGCATATGGAACTCGCTACAATGAATTGTCCAAAGCAACCTTCATTGAATAAACTATGTGTGTACACTCCAACTTCTAATAATGACCTCCTCTCTATGACAGCTACACTGTATGGACGCAATCCACTTAGATAAAATTACTGGAAAGTTCAATTGGAGTTTGGAGAAAGTTCAATTGCAGAAATGTTGTTTCTCTAGCTCACACTCAGCAAGTAATAGCAAAAAAATATTGTGAGAAAAAGTGCTTGTGTAATGACAATGAAACTTCACAAAGATCACAAACAAACTGTAGCTGTGTGATTAAAATGTAAAATATCCTTAGCTACAGTTGTGTATAACTCAGGTTAAAGTACTACATGACTGTATCTCAAAAGTAGCCAATTTAAAAACTATAAGAGTGCAAACATTGCCTCTTTCTCCTCACCTCCTTTCTTTCTCTTCTCTTCTCATTTTAGTTTTCCATGATTTTCAGCCTTATCAGACGCAGAAGCCAGCCTTTCCCCCTCAACTGGCTGCTGATTTCACTAGATGCGTTTTCAAAAATCCGGCTAGACATGTACTACAACAAACCCAACACTTAACAAAGTTACACTTTTATAAGAATGAGCCCTAGATCCTCTCCATCAATGCCTGTTTAAGTTCATGTGGTTTAAAGACTCCATATTCAGTTATAATGCCTCCTGTTATCAGTTCTGCTGGGGTGATATCAAATCCTGGATTCCAACAGCCAATCCCATGAGCTGCAATACGAACATCGCCCAGTGTTGTCAGCTCATGGGCAGGTCTCTCCTCTATTGAAATGTGCTCACCACTTTCTAATGACAAATCTATGCTGGTAGAGGGTGCAGCAACGTAAAATGGAACCATATGATATTTGGCTGGAAAGAGGAAAAAAAAAGAGAGAAATAATTAATATGTTATGCCAAGTTTTGAGTAGTTTAAGATTAAATTTATCTATTATAATATCTCCAATAAACCTGAATTACTTACACGAAAGTAGTGTATAGTTTTTTCAGGTTACCTCTTCCCATAATAATAATTAATTTGGTGAAAAAAGACTGGAATCCACAAATATTCAAGCTATCCATTTGAATCCTTTAAGTACTGACATGTCAACACAAGTATTACATGCACAAGGGTGTATCTTAGAATACTGCCTGGGTAAAAAGCAAACTTGATCAATCATGCACAGCTCACGCGAATTTACTACATGAATGCTTACAGCTGTGTCTCTATATACATGTAAGGGAGCAAAGGGTGTCCCACTCTGCAGGTCTAACTTGAATATTACAGGAAATGAAATGCATTATGCACCTTTAAACTAAATTGTACATGGCATCTAGACTAAACTGGTAGTTCAGTTTCAACATGTTTGAATCAGATCACACTTTTATACACTTTCACACAGAAATACACTGTATATTGATTAGACTACTTCAACGCAAGTTATTCAATTATTTTTTGAGATAATTGATAGATGATAACTAATTCTAATCTTGATAAGTGGAAACCCATGATCAGTTCTTACGATATCATTACTAAAAAACAGTTCTTACAATAATAATTATTATTAGGTCAAGAAAGGAAAAAAATAAATGCAAAAATGTCGTATACTATAACAAAACATGATGTACCAATAGTTCTAACAAATTCCAAAAATTAAAGATCTAGAAAATTCAAAAATATAAATTTTCACTTCTAATTTTATAGATAATTTATACTAACATATATCATGCTTCAATCCATGCATAGTTTCGTAAGAGTTACAAACACTGTACACAAGAAAGAAAAAATTTTTTACTAATATAATTTCAATGCCTCGCACTAACCAGATATAGCTATCTGATATGTTCCAATCTTGTTTGCAGTATCTCCATTAGCAACAACTCTATCGGCACCAACAACAACCACATGCACTCCCTTGGTCTTCATGAGCAAAGACACCATGGAGTCGGCTACTAAAGTGGATGGAATATTCTCATAGACCAATTCATAAGCAGTCAGCCGTGAACCCTGGTTGTAAGGTCTTGTTTCTGTGCAGAAGACATGTTCAATCCTCTCTTGTTCATATAGCTTTCTGATGACTCCCAGAGCAGTTCCATAGCCAGCTGTTGCTAAAGAGCCAGTGTTACAATGAGTGAGTACTTTCAACTTTTCGGAGCTTGTCAGCTGTACCATATGATCTGCCCCATGCCTGCCAACAGACTGATTATCGCTCACATCTTTTGCCAGCATTCCTTCAATTTCCTCAATGACTTTTATCTTGATATCCTGAGGGTCACTTTTAACTGAAGATAAATATGTAACAAAAGACACTAGATCTTTTGCAGTCTCTGATATATTTACAGCTGTTGGTCTAGCTGTGGTAAGGTAGTCAAGCTTCTCTGTTATAAACTTTAGCAACTCTTCCGCTGAACTGAATGACTGCTGGAGCAGTTCCACCACCAAACTCAAGGCACCAACTATAGCAATAGCCGGGGCACCACGAACCTGAAATAAACATAATATCATAGTAGTCCCTAATTTTGCATGAAATTTCAAAGTTACAGTGTACATATAACTTATGATTTCACGAGCAAAAATACAAAATTGCTATGGCAACATTCCATACGTTTCAGTGCCAAGATGGCAGCAAGGTTTAAAAATGTTATGAATAAAGATATTATCAGGACATTACAAGACACTTCAGAAAACCTAAACACACCAAAAGCACATCAAGAAGGATTCTTTCAAGTGATTTTGCCGAAAAATTCTGAAAATTCTGCACTGAAGCCAGAATTCAAGCTCAGCACTTTTCAGTGTGGGGGGTTCTCGATTGATAATCAATGTTATAAACATGTCAAAAACTACAATTGTGAGTGTAATTGTCACCAATACATTATAACCATATTATTAAATAGATACATTGTAATCAAAATGGTATGCTCATGAAATAAGGGAATAATTTGACTCATCACCATTTGATTAAACATACTAACAATCTGTACATAGCTAATTCAAAAAAGCTTGCTTTCCTAAACTCACCAAAAGCACATCAAGAAGGATTCTATCAAGTGATTTTGTCGAAAAATTCTGAAAATTCTGAACTAAAGCCAGAATTCAAGCTCTGCACTTTTCAGCATGGGAAGTTCTTGATTGATAATCAATGTGATAAACATGTCAAAAAACTACAATAGTAAGCTTAATTGTCATCAATATAATTATAACTATATTATAAAATAGGTACATTGTAATCAAAATGGTATGTTCATGAAATTAGAGAATAATTTGACTCGTCACCATTTGATTAAACACACTAACACTCTGTATATAGCTAATTCAAAAACACTTGCTTTCCTTTGACAATGGGGCATTTTTGCATATGGAACTCGCTACAATGAATTGTCCAAAGCAACCTTCATTGAATAAACTATGTGTGTACACTCCAACTTCTAATAATGACCTCCTCTCTATGACAGCTACACTGTATGGACGCAATCCACTTAGATAAAATTACTGGAAAGTTCAATTGGAGTTTGGAGAAAGTTCAATTGCAGAAATGTTGTTTCTCTAGCTCACACTCAGCAAGTAATAGCAAAAAAATATTGTGAGAAAAAGTGCTTGTGTAATGACAATGAAACTTCACAAAGATCACAAACAAACTGTAGCTGTGTGATTAAAATGTAAAATATCCTTAGCTACAGTTGTGTATAACTCAGGTTAATCTGTGAGACACACAGAAATTCATTGTACAATTACACAGTCGTATTAATAGCACTTCATTCATTTGAAGACAACATCAATAAGAAACTGCTCTTCATCTCTAGTAAGTTCTTTGTTACGCTGAGACAGATCCTGTGGTTCCTGCATACATGTACTTGAATGATCAATATTGCTTTCAATTGCTAATAAGGAAGAACTGCACAACTGTCTTTTTGTTGGGATGTATGGTTTAAAAAACGTCATTCTTGACCTTCTGCAATTAAAAAACAATGTATCCCTACGAACTGGACTAAATCCAGAAGACTTTCTGTCCACTTTCTCAAGGAGACGAAGCTTTTCATTTTTTAGGTGGACGAGTCCTTGCTCCAAGGAAGTACCATGAGTGATAAAAAATTTTTCATGACATCCTGAGGAGAAACAAATTTGTTCTGCAAAATTTGCCTTATCAGAAAATAATGCCCTTTCTTTACATTTCTTCCTCTCAAAGAAGCCGGAAATGTCTCCATGACCAAATGGGAAAAAACAATCCCGCTGGACACAAAGAAAAACAGTTTCCTTGAAGCTGACACTGAATTGTACAAGTTCACTTGCGATCCCTCTGTTTGCACATACAGCACAAAATTTGTCTTGTTTTGCATTCACTTGGTTGGCATACATACAGTACTTATTACATGAAGATCCTGGTTTAAAAGCAGTTCATAAATAGACTTTTAGCCCCTTGCAAGATAGAAGACAATCGCAGGTTCTCTCCTTTATAATTGCCTGAATTGAAAACTGAGATGGCATATTAATTTTTATTTAGGAACGTACCCAAACCGTTCAAAACGTTTCAAAACGCACCTTGGAGATGCAGATGTCAGACAAAAATGGGACACGTGGACAAAAGTTCGTATATAGCCATCCACCAAAGCAGGATGAATAAGCATTTTATTCTACCCTAGTTTAACGCAATAATTTAAAAAAAAAATCGATGGTGTGGAAATAGTAATAATTCCTATATCCACACCATTTCTGGCAGTAATACGTAGCTTTGATTTAGTAATTAACTCCGCTATAAACTTAACTATTTCCAATAACACGGCGGTTATCTTTTGAGCCAAAGCTGTTGCGTGTTAAGAGGGGGAGACCGGGGGAACATTTACAGTGTATCAAAGGCATGGCTATTACCCTCACAGTTTACGTCCAGTTCTTATTTACCTTATTTAAAACCAAACACGTTCCTCTTTTTTCTTCTTTTAAGTTCATTAAAGCTAACGAGAGCCTACACTATTCACGCCTAAAAAGGTGATAAAAAAACCCCTTTTTTGCCAGACCAAAAGAGCAAAGAAAAACAAGTCCTCCACACAAACTTGCCCCCCAGAAAAATCTCACCTTCATCGATCGAATTGCTTGCCAACCGTCCTCAACGCAAGAAATTTCCTCGTAGACCGACTCATGAGGAAGGAGAAGTTGGTTTAATATCTCCAGATGTCCACGGTGGTACTTAATCGCCAAGAGAGACATCTTACAAGGCGAAAAATCGACCACTTTGACACCGAGATACACAACCTTTCCGCCCCGACCGGCCGTGGAAACCGAGAGAGTAAAATAATGACTTTGCACAATGCTGCCTCGTTTTGAAAATCACAAAGGTGCCCATCACCTCCCTAGAGAAGTAGTTCGATTTAAGCTAAGAAGACACCCAAACAAAAGAGAATCAAAGAAAGACTATCGTCAGCTCGCGGGAACGTTGTTCAGAAAATAATCAATTAATGGTTATCAACTCTGGTTTTCCCACAGTAAATTGTAGGAAATGATAGAAATTCAGATTGTTTATCCATGTACAATGTATTCAATATACTATCTTTGCTCTGGAAACGCAGTACTTTTTCTTTTTGTTTATTTTTATCAAATAATAGTTATTTAGGTATATATTTATAGAAAAACAACAAGACAAATAAGCAAACAAAACAAAACAAAAACGGAAAAAAAAGAAAGAGAGAAAAATACAGGGCCGGACTTGAACCAGGCACCTTCTGTTATATGCGCCTTTACTTTTTACCACTACACCACTAAGGCTGATAACACAGTCATCGGCAAAACTCTTTAATTTAATGCGTTATCCATGGAACTTCCGCCTGCAAACTCCTTCAGTATGATCGAGCCGCATTAACCGAGCTATTGACAGTAAAAAAACAATGTAAACGCATTTCATGGCAACGAATGAATAAAATAACATACGCTTTACAAAGACGATACACCTCGTCAGCGAAGTAGGACGCAAAACATATGTTTTCTTATCTCGATTTCTGCTGTTATTTTGAAGCTAATGGTCAAAATCACATCCATTTTCGGCCCATACAGGTTCTCAAGAATAGCATGGCACTTTCAGATCCTTTCAGATCACTTTCCAGCAAGTCGGAATTTGTGTAGCCTGCGTAGCAGGCGGTATTGTGTAGTAGTCGAGTGAGATTTAGCGGCGGAGCCGTCACGAGCGGCGAAGCCGCGAGAAATACCGCCTGCCAAAAATTTGTGTATCCCCCATGATCTTCGGGAGTCAGAAGAATAATTGCTCATTTTCTCGTCAAGTTTTACGCCTGGACGAGTCAAAGGCTCTTGAAATCCAATCCCCAAGTTAACCATCGTACTCATTTGAAAGACTCCTACTTGTCTTAAATTTGGTAAGACCTCTAACCGTGCTGTAGAAAATTTGCCACAATCTGACCAGCGAACGCCGAACGTTGCACGCTCTCAGCGAAGAATTTGATCCCACCGAACTTCGGGGAGCGCGTGCTTCTTCGGAAACGACAGATCTTCCCACTCTCGAGTCCGGATCCGATTAATTACGAAGTCCGTCTACTACGAGTGAGCGAGTGACTCCTTTGCATATCTCTGTCCCTGCAATAACTCGTGGTACGCTCGCGCGTCCCCACGAGTTAAAAAGGACCTGTGAACAGGCTCCCTGTTTAGGGGAAAAATAGCAAGAATCCGCACAGAAGAGCCCAGTGCTGAAATGAGACTAACTGAATTCAAGGAGAATTTGAAAAAGCTCCGCTATAAACTCGTCTAACCAAAACGCATTCTCCCATCTCAGGAATTTATGACGCTCTACTAAGGAAATGGCCGTACAAAGTCTACGTTCTACCTTTTGGATCAGAACCCAGACCTTCAGAAAAGGAAACACTTGTCTTTTTCCGTGAAGCCAAACTCCCGTGTGTCTAGAGGACGGGACATTTCGTGGTCGACCCAAGACCAACAAAAATCCAAGCTTAGGCTCCGGGAAGTTCGCTTCTCACTAGGAGATGAAAGTTAAGCAGAGGGGGCGGATCCAGGATTTTTTTTAGGAGGGGGTGCACTCGTCTCTTGCTCAACTCTACTTCAACACCAATAAACCACATGTTTTTTTTTTTTTTTTGCAGAATACCAGTTGTATTAAAAAACCGCAGGTCTTCTCAGTGGGGGGGGGGGGGGGGGGGG